CTCTCTCTCTCTCTCTCTCTCTCTTTCCCCTCCCCGAGCATAATTTGCTTACAGGAGGAGGCAACGAAGCTCCATCTCATCCTATCCATCCACAAGGCCCAGAGAACCACTGCGGACAGGTCTTCTATTGAAGTAACCAGGACACGGAGCAGGGTTTTCCACGCCGGACAGAACTCTGTACTGCACCGTGTTCCGACTTCTTTTTCGTAGTGGTGGCAAACAATGGTGGGCTCAAAAACCATGCCCGCAGAGCACCTGCATCATCCTGTATGTGAGGGGTACTCTCTTCCCGTCTAGCCAGTCCTCCCCCAAATCGGGAGGACTGTTTCAACTACGCGCTGCCTCGCCGAGCCGTCTGCCTGCAGGGAGGCACATCACTTTTCGAGCAGCTTAAGCTGTGCTCGTAGTCTTATATCTAAAGCGGATGTCTCCGCAGTGTCCCCGTTCCCATCCCGACTCCTAGTGCCGTTGTACATGTCTCTACTCCTAAGAGCTTGGAGCTCAAACAGAGGGAACTCTGCAAAAATTCTCGCCGCAGCCCCATTGACGATACAGTATCTTCTCGGTACAGTATCCTAATGGCGATCAGCAAGAAGCTACGCCAAAATGCCATTAGGTCTTCCGCCCATATGGGAGCCCTGTAAAGGAGTTTGCTCTCAATCATTTTTACGTGTATAGATGGCCCCTCCTCCCCAAGCGTTGGCAATAGGCTTCCAAGTATGGGCTGTCTCGGCCCAGCGCCGCGAAGGATCAACGATAATTCAGGCTGAGATCCAGATACTTTATCTGGGTCCCTACCGAACCTTTCCCCAACTCTAATAATCTTTCCTGCAGGAGGGTATCCCCACCGAAACGAATGGTATATCCACATGGCTTCGATTTTTTTGGGAAGACACCTCGAGCCCTAACTCTTTTATTGCCTGAATCATAGTCGTCACCACTAACTCCGCTACGCGGACTGTCCTTCTGTATCCACAATCCCAGACGAGCACCGTATGGTCCGTTAACGTATCGTCCGCATAACACGTCTGCATTCGAGAGCAATGGTACGCGCAGAACGAGCATCGTACATGAGACCCCACAGGGGTTGGCCCAAGGATCGAGCTTTGTAGTACCCCACGCTGGATCGCTCTCTTCACCACCTTCCCTTTTCGACGGAGTGTTCCCAGGGAACACTACTGCGCGATCCCTGAAATACGCCTGTACCACTCTAAGATAAAGAGGGAAAACACCAATACCTTCTCTATCCTGTCTCAGGAGAGGGTATTAAAGGCGTTGACGGTATCCAAGGATACCGCCAACATCATTTTACTCTTCCTTGTGGCTTCCATAGAGAGCGATCTACACGGCGATCAATCATGGACCTCAACGGAAGCCGTACTGCCTCTTCAGCCCCGATGCTCCCCGGTCCAGGTGAGCAATGAGGCGGGCCGCTACGATCCTTTCAAATAGCTTGCCCGTCTCGTCCAATAGGCACAGTGGCCTGTATCTAGAAGGCGAGTCGTCCAGTTGTCCCTCTTTTGGGAGGACTATTCGCCTGACCTTCCATTTTTTCGCCCCAGCCTAGGCAACTGTTACAGAGATATCTGAACCGGGAACCGAACTCCTTGTAAACTTCCCCCTTTTCAAATCCGAGCCAGAGCCCTATCTGGTTCTTCAAGACTTTGCTCCCTATTCTCCTGACTGCTCTGATCAGCTCCTCGGTAGCCATTCCCTGCTCCGGAGCCCAATTCTGCTACCCCCAAATGACAGGGCATACCTAGGTGACACCTCCTTATCCCCTACGGGTGGAAAAAGCGCCACAACCACCTTGTTCAAGAGCTGGTCCATCCTCTTCGTAACCGAGAGGCGCCCTAGGACGGAATTTCTCCAGCACAATCCGATATGGACGCTACCACGGATTCGACTCGAGAGCGGACAGGAGTTTATTCCATGCGAAATTTCGCTTCCTTGATGCAGCGCTGCAGAGATCTCCGTTTATTGCGATAATCTTCATACAGCAACTCCATCTCAGATGCATCCACATGGCTTCTGCGACAGAAGTGCACCGGTGCTGTGTACTGGCGACGTGCGCGTACACATCTCCTTCTGAGCTTGTCCAGGGCACTAGCCTGTCTCCGCCACAGAAGCCGCCTTCCCCTTCACGTAGACACTAGCAACAGCCACCATCAGATCTTCGTTGAACCAGGCAGAGCCTGGCCTCCTCATCACGGAGGTGACGAACAACCTCTCTTCCGTAAAGAATCCCTTACGTTGACCGTAATTCTGATATAAAGTGTCTCCTCCGGGGCCACCTCTCAATCCGACACCCTGCCAGTGGCAGTGGGCCTTGCTCA